TTTCGTTCGACAAATTGTTATGAAATCGAGAAAAATTTGTTTCACGGGAACGAGATAGAATGACTAGTTTTGCAATTTTTCTCTACAATTATTCGAGATATATTTTAATCGGATAGAAATTAAATTATGTATATCCAATTCTGTTTTATCACGCCATTTTCATTATTATTATCTATATATACTGCGAGTACTAAATATATTTTTGGTATCCAGTTGTTTGAAAAAAGTCACTTATAACGCGTTAAATTTATTTAAAGATCAAAAATAGCAGTACGATTAACAGATAGAGTAAGGTATTGTTTTGTATAATTAACATTATTATTAATATCATTACATACACCCGAAGAATGAAATTTGAGTATCCGTTTTCGAGTGAATAGCTTAATAAGTAAAATAGAATATTATTTAAAAATTTCGAAAAGCCAAAATTCAATTCTTTCGAGACTACAAATTAACAGGTTAGCACTGGTAAAAGTTTATAGTGTCCATAAATATATAAAATATAAAGCATATATTTTCTCGAGTTTCCGAGTGCCATATTGAAACAATTTCGAGCAAAATAATATACATATGTACAATTCAAATATTTGCGGTTACCGAAACATTCTGTACAAAACTGCATGTCGCGTGAAAATCATATATCGTCATTTATCGCGCAGCAAAGTTCAACTATTATTGCCATTAATAATTCGGGACATCGGGTAATTCCAAACCGATCGAGCACCTAAGTTGCTCATTTGAATATTAAGCAAATTGTTAAATCGTTTCGTTCGAACACATTGAATTTCTCCAAATATGCGAGGGCAATGAAGCTATTCGAAGCACGCTTGCGAAACCGTTTCACGAGAGAAAGAAATATTAAAAAATATTTATAAAAAGTATTTAAAGATAAATAAGGAAATACCGATAAATAATTTTCCTAAACAATCAATTTTGTTAATAGAGCTTATTTCATGGCACGGAAAAAAAGTTCATATTCCTGAATTGCTTTTTAAACAGTCAATCAAATCCCATTGCTGCACGGATTATTCCCGATACTATTTATTTATACGTATAAATCGATCGGAAG